TGCTCAAATTCTAAACATTTATGCATTTAATTTAACAAGCTTATGAATATGTCAGCTCTGAAAACACAAAAATAAATATTTTTTTCACATAATCAGACTCGAGAGGACTAAATAGGACTAGGAATTAAAAAAGAAAAACAATCTCTAAATCTGTGCATTATTGAAACGGCTCTGCGGAGTACTCTGGATGCTCCATGGTCTACAAATACCACAGTAATCCCCCCAGGCCAGACAAGAGGTTAGTCAAGGTCAAAGGGATGATGGCTGCAGGCTAGCCACGGCTAACCGAGATTTAATACCAACTAAAATCAATCCCATGTGACTTCAGGATCAAAACCATCTGATGTGCATGGTTTCATTTAAAGAATTTACTGCATGTAATCCCCCCTTTGTTTTCATTGGCAGTCTGTGCACTGCGGTACAATAGCTGCGACTTTAAATCTTCCTCTAATAAAGCTCACATAAATATAAACGCAGTCACGGAAACATTTGGTATTGAACCACAAACAAAAAAATTAACTGCTAATACCAAAGACACACACACTCATACTCCAACTTGATCCCTGCTGTCATTGCTGACCTTTTATACTATAACACAGTTAAAGATGTTCACAGTGGGCTAAAATGGGACCACAGCACAAACAAGATATACCAGTTAACTTTAGAAGCATACACTGACCTAAATACATTGCAACTGCAAAAACGCTAAATTGTCTATATTAGTACACATCAAAAGGGTCTACAGACTGCTTTCTTGTGTGGAGCAAACTAGACGTAACTAATCTGTAGGCGTTACGATCCAGATGCTACAAATGTGCTGTAAAAGATGCCCATTTCTGCTAATATATATTTAAAAGAGGAAGTGATATTTCACATGAAAGAAGCTATTTTCCACATGTAGGCATGCAGGTGTGCCTTGAAAGCTTGGCTTGTCTTCTGGTGCGCCTTGGGATTAAAATATTTGTTTGTCTTTTTAAAAATCACTGTTTCTATGGCATCATAAAATGAAATGACTTGATGAGTGAATGAGCTATTGTTCCTACACTGAGAGTCCATTACAGACCAAACAAAATCTCTCGTAATCAGACTGAGACGAACAGCTGATAAAGTGACCACATTGCTAGTTGGCCTGAAGGGCTGTCGAAAAATAACACAGAACTGGAACGTCTTGGTTTTTAATCCAAGACATGTCACGCCCTTTATCACACGTCATATCCTCCTCCTAATGTGACTCTGACACGTCATGTGATCTAATAACAAAGACAGAGATGTGTGACCGCACCTGACTGTGGGGTTGTCATCAGTGCGTGTGCGTTGCGGTGAGTCGGAGGCAGGACCGTCCTCCCCGTCCTGAGGCAGCTCTTCACATTCTGCCTCACACTTCTCATCATCCAACAGCTCTGTGATCTGCAGACAGAAATATAAAAGGATGTAAATGAGGAACACTACAAGCACTAAAACAGTTACAGTTACATTACGGAACGACAAAGGTTACAGCACAGGTCACCACAGTCCACCTGTACTTGTGCGGGTGAAACGTTTACCAAAGCGGTTTCTTAAAGGGTAACGCGATGCATGTTTATTTTGCAATAAAGATTTCAGGTAGTAACGTAAAACTTTATTTATCTGTATCTCACGCTGAGTGGAAATATACACGCTGACATTAACCAGCCTCACGATGGAGTCCAATGAAGACGGCCAACTTCACTGTTAGGTTTACAGTTATAAGAATAACATGAACATATCCTATATTTTTATTTTTCAGGGACTTTCAGTGATTGCAGAGATAAAATCCTTTCATATAAAGCTGTATATACTCTGTTTGCAAGGCAGAACCAAGACGTTACAGTTTGTTCAATTAGATATCCAAATATAGACGACGCTAATGAGTAACGCATTGACAGCGCAGATGTAGTCTTCAGCAGGGAGGGAAAAAACATTTCTTTGACGGACAGATGGAGGGGGTGATGAGTGGACAAGAGAAACGAGGAGGAGGGAGAAGGACGGGAACGAGGGTTTAAATTCGGGCTTGAGAGGATGTATCATTTTCTCGTTGACGTAGCAATGTCCCGATGCATGATAGTCACATTCCAAGACTGTAAGAAGGAGAAACCAGACCACCAGGTATGCAGCACGTGGAGCTTTGCTGTTTGATATAAAATAAAAACTAACAAGTGAATGCATTTAGCTTTTAGACTACATCCACAGCTGTAAACACACTGAGCACATAGTTGACATGTATGATACGTGTGGGTCTGTGTACTCTGCAAATATAGAAAGGTCACAGAAATGGGTCAAAAATTGATTATTAATATAGAAAAATAACCACCAGAAGACATTTTATTTAATTGCGGAGCTTTCTGGATGTTAACTCAACCATATCACACAAACTCTGTGAAAAACTGAACACACAACACACACCAGAAGGAAAAACCGCCGTCTTTGTTTTTCCTTTGACTCACAGAGAGCACGTCCTATTGTCGGTGCAGGAAAATCCTTTGATTGGCCTGCACGAGCCACATATTCAAAGCTTTTACAGAGAAGAAAACAGGCTGATGGAAAAAGACGAGCTGATGCTGCGTGTTTCTAGTGCAACCTAAACTCGACAACAAACTATTGAGTTTCTTTTGCCGCAGCTCCGGTTTTAAGGCTAAGATCACGTAAGAAGGTGTGAATACGATGAGGAAAAGGTCAAGCGAGCGAGCCGAAGGGAAAGAAGAAGAGTGATAATGAATCTGCCAGTAAAAAGAAAGAAAGGGAGACGGGAAGGAGATGGATGTAGGAGAGAAGGTGGGAGGGGGAATAGATATGTTGACAGAAATAACTCATCATCATTCTGGTAGGTGACAGCATGTGAACAAGCTGTACTTTATGCTCCAGCTCAAGGATTTCTTTTGTTGATTTAGTAAAATATGACTTTAGAAACAGATATTTTTTCCTGTGTAAAATCATCAGCTGGTTCTTCAGGCTACACCTTATGCTCACATTGCATTAGACACAAGTTTGACCTCAACTACAAAACCCCAGAAAGGAGCGTGGATTAAAAGGTTAAACCAGATTCACTGTCATGAGGAAACAACGTCACCCTGTTTGCCCTTTCCTGTGCCTCTCTCCTTTGGTCTTCTCAGCATCTGCTGCTGTCACTGTACTGTCACTATGGAAACACCTCTGTTAAAAAAAAGCCCTGATTGGCTGTTGGGAAATTCTTGCATCGTCACATGTGCAGACCTAGGAGGATGACTCACAAGATTCCCTGAAGTAAGAGAGTGTGTGTGTGTCTAAGTGCAGAACGTAGACTTTTAAACAGCTTCAGTCTCAGTTTTTATGACAGAGCTTCAATTGAGAAGTCAAAATATCCTTTATCCCAGCATGCACTTAAGCTGAGCTACGGGGTGATATTTATCTTTACGTGTAGGTGTGTGAAATACTGATGAAATTATATGGAAGCCTGACAGATAATTATTAATCTCCTGACCATCCTTTGCTATTAACACAGAAAAAATACAAGTGATGCTAATGTTTCACAGGAGCTGGAAAAATAAGCAGCAGCTCAGCTCATGGTGATGTTAAGAGATGACTCTGTTCATTTCTGCCTTCACATCACATCACAATCATACTTGGACTTTTCTAGAAGCGACCCTGAATTGGATACGTGGAAGAGAATGGATGGATGGAAACCATGCTACCATAGGGAAATATTGTTTTGATTTATTAAAACTCCAATTTTAGATGTTTATATATGAATGCAGAAAATTCATCTCTTATCTTAGACATTTATATATAAGAACTAGAGCAGGGCGATATGACCAAAACTATTTATCACGATATACATTTGAAAATTTGCGATAACGATATAATTGACACTAGACAAAATACTTTACAACTCC